TATTCCTTTTCCACTTGCTTCAGAAGCAAGTACTATCCCGAAGCAATCATGCGCAACATGAACGACAAAACATCTAAAACAATAATTGCCCTCACACCGCTGGTTGTAACATTGGCAAGGGCTCGCACAAAGGATGTAGTCAGCACATATTTGGTTTGTAGTTCACCCCAGCAGTTCGGATTTATCCAGACGTCTTCCCTTCATCCCCATGATGCGGCAGCTTCCCAAAATAGAAGTGCTCTTGGGACTTTAGAGAGAAATGGGGATTGTGAAGGGATCGTGGGGACGTGCAATTATCAGGATTTTTGCCGGGATGCTTTGAGAAACTTGCCAATCTGCTATTGCCAGGCAAGAGGCTGAGCTTGGATAGGGAGGTTGCCCTTAGCTGCTTGGGACAGGAGCAATCCCATCTGCATGTCGGCGACTTCTAGAGAAGATGAAACGTTGCTGGAGGGGGCTCAAAGGCAAGCGAACAGAACGATTACTACAAGCAGACAGTTGGGAGGACAGCCTCGCAAGGCTACATGCGCAGCGGCACCATGCTCCAAACTATCACAGTCCATCATCGGAGTCAACCCAAAGCGCGTTCCAAACGAATCCAGAAGTGTCCCGAACTGGAATGCTCAGGCGGCAGAAAATACGCCACAAGCCTGAAACTCCGCCGTGACTACTCGGCCGAGCATCCCGTTTGATTGGAACTTCTCCCTGTGCCATAAAAGCTGTCATTGAGAGTTGGGAGTTTCTTGTGACTTAAGCTAACCTCACATGGCGAGGGGAATTGGGGACTTTGGACTTGAGGTATGTGAGCTGTGCATGCATCTTTGAGTAGAGCTCTGGGAAGATGTACGGACTTCTGCTTCGTCATCTGTGCGCCCTATATAACTGTTTGGTGTACCCTTGACATACTTCAGAATCGCTGTTAAGTAATCGCAAGATCACTCAGCCTGGCCTTGTAACAGGATCGGGTCACGGCTTAAGACTGTTAAGGTTTGCGGAAGCTAAGTCTAGGGAGATTCCAGGATGACCATCACCGCATACGGGTTTAGGACGACTTTAGGTTCAGGGTTGTAGCTTGCTTGGGGCTTGCCAAAGTTGTCACAGCTTGCGTGCGAAGTGCTTTTTCCCACGCCGTGCGTGGGACGCAACAAGCTAAGAGCTGCTTTAGTGTGCGGCTTCGGCCGTGCAGGAACGAGTTATGTACTGAATGTACAATGTGCAGGTGTACCGCAAGATTCCTCAAGCTTCGAGGCAAGGGGACTCAACAAGTCATGTTGAGGCGTAGTGTGGTTTTAGGCTTTAAGGCTTCTGGTTTACGAATTAAGGGCTTAGGGTATCAAAAAAACCACGAATGCAACCTTCAGCCTCAGCTGTCCAGCTCACAAGAAAACAGCTCGTCAACATCTCCCAGGCCTTTGCTCTTGTCAGCAAGTCCAGGAAATGCCAGAGCTTTGTAGTACAAGCACTCAACCCCTAAATCCCGAACTCTAAGATCCTAAGCCCTAACCCAAATCCTCTAGGGTGTAACACTGTAGCAGGCCCGAACCCCCCCTGCCCGTAGCACTCCTGGTCATCATGTTCTCCATTTCCAGAGGGCATTCGTCTCTTCTCGACTCATCTTCGCACTTTGACCTGGTAACTGCGGGCAAAAAAGGCACATGAGCTACTGTCTAAACTCCTAGCATCCCCCTTAATAACCCATATAGTAGTCCCCTATATAAGCCCCTATATAACCCCCTTTAAGGAGTTTTGACTGTAGCTCACATAAGCAAATTTCTGTGTTTGTTTGGGGGGCTCCTGTAAAGCCTGGCGCAGTGAGACGACTAGGTAATGACGATACAAGCATGGGACCAGTCGACCACAGAGAGGCTTCGCAATATCCATCTGCGACGCTCCATACGCTCACTCCGCGAAGGGTCCCGCTTGACGGTTTGGCTAAACCCTAAACCCTAAACCCTATTGTAGCTCCGGGACCTAACAAAAAGCCTAGGTGCGTCAGAACCAGGCGAACATTTGCTTATCCACGATTTTTTGCGCTGAGGAATGAGGAGGCTGAAGGGTCGAAGTTCCACGACTGCCACTGCCCCGGTCAACTGGTGTTCTTCGTATTACTTATGCCGACTTATGCCATTACTATTACTCATGTTTGGGTTTCTTCTTCTATGGCTATGTGGCTTTAATTCGTCGCGAACTCTTCGACCCCCAACTTCCAACCTCGCCCAGACCTCCACCTCGTGTGTTCTCACCATATGCCGCTACCAAACCCTCTCAATCCTTTTGCTTCAGACTCAAAACTTTCATCCCAAGACCTCAATCCCTAAGCCCCCAATTCTCCACTGCCTAGCCTGCTGATCCCTGAACCCGTCATCTCTAAGCGCCTAATCCCCCCGTTAAACCGTGGTAATCCCTACCTAAACCCCCAAAGTATGTAGAATAATGGCCTTTTGGGCTAGATTTAAGGGTCTTGGGCCATTATTCTACCTACTTTGGGGGTTTAGGTAGCATCTTTTGTTAAACTGCCGGGCAAGTTGCCAGGCAGCAATCCTTCGGCGGGCCGCTTTTCGCGTGCGCGCATTGGGCCGCAGGAGTTCGCCAGTGGGGGCCTGACGTCGGCTTCAAGGCTTCGGGGCTTAGAGTGTTGTAGGAGTTGGACTTGCTTGTATTTCAGGTGCAGGTTTTGGGGCTTCTGGGGCTTTAGGCTGTAGGGGTTTAATTCATGGCCTCTCGGGTTGAACACCTAGCTCTCCTCAAGAGAGGGGCTCACCCTGGGCTACCCATTATTCCCTCACCAGCAGCCCAGTAGGATACTCCGGGAAGGCTATGAATTCAGGGTCGACAAGTCCACAAGATTTTTTGCGAAAAGTTCCAGATGTCTTTCTGCTCTAATCCCCCCGCCATTCAGCAGGCATGGCTTGTCGTGTTTGTTGGAGCGCAAGACTCTGGAGTTCAGGGACCAGGGGGGGCTTAGGGTTTTCTCAAAGGGTCAGACGTGTCACGGATCCATCATTTGCTGCCAAGCAGCAAAGAACATTGTCTTGCTGGACACATCCTGAGCCGTGCAGCAAGGGAGCAATGAAACGCTGAAAACTTATTTCAGATGCGCGCAACGTTGCTAACAATTCATCGACTTTCCTCGCTGTGCCACCGGAACAGGAAAAGGAAAGTCCAAGGCGAGCCCTTTGGAAGATGCCACAAAGCCGCCACTCTCTTTCGCAAAGAGAGTAGGTCGTACTCGCTTCTGGGCCATGGCAGGAACTTCACGGAGATCTCACCTGGGTAGAGGAGAAGCTCACATGAAAGTTTGAGTAACAGTGGAGGAATGAGGGCTTGTGAAGTTTCAACGGTTTCTTCTGTCTGCAGCGTGGTATTGTCTGCATTCGATCTTCTAGGAGCCATCGGCACGGCCTGATAAGCCAGGCTGCAAACAACCATAGCTGTTCAAATTCAAGTTGACCAAGTAACGCAAAACTAGCACGGACTTCTATGCCTGACTCTGCCTGACCTCATAATGAGAAAGAGGCTGAATGTTGAGTATCCTGTATTATCTTCTGCGATGTGGTAAGGGCGCATACGCAGCAGAATTGATTTACAAAATATGGTGCTTCCAGAAAACACCCAATACATGCGTTGGGGGTGGCTTGGAAGTGATGAGTGGCACGTATTCATGAATGCAAATGGACCACGTTCATGAGGATGATGCTCTCACATTGGCTGTTGTACTGTGGAGATCTTGTAGCCGGAGCCAGATGCCAAAAGCGATGCACGCCAGCGAAACTGCACTTCCCGAGTGCCATTGACTCTTCGGATTGTTGTTGTAATTGCAAATACCAATGTAAAAACAAAGTCAGTCTGATAGATTCCCTGATCACCTCACGCCCTCCAATCTGACTTTACCATGCCAGGGGAACAGCAGCAATACACTCACGAATCCTTCCTGCGAACCAAGATGTTATCACCCTAAACTTTCAGAAGCACCTTCACCTTGCATGGAGATTTCTCGAAACTATCTCTATACAATCCTGGGAAGGGACAACCAATTTACGCACGAAATCGATTTCCCCCGTAATCAGAAACCCCCCTCAGCAGAGCTCACTCAGAACATCCGAGAGGCTGCGCTGAGCTCGGGAACCAATCACACCAACCTAGGCTAGGGGTCAGGACTTGGGGAGCCAAGGATTGTTGGGTTTAGTATTTAGGTTTAGGGTCAAGGATTGTAGGCTAGCACACAAACATGGAGCCCCTCTAATAAAGCAGCGGTTGCATAGGGGGACATATGGGGATATGTAAGGATATGTAGGGTGTAGGGTACATATGCCAGAGAACCCAGAGTCATGAGATACAGCATGAACTAGGTCGCGCAACAATATTCATCCACAACCCCCGCAATCTGCTGATGACCTTTCCTGAAGTCACCATGGCGAATTAGGACATGACAAGGCAAGCCAAGATGGCCTTCAAAAAGGTACGTAATGACAGTAATACTAGTAATACTACTAGTAGCGACCAGAACCGCTATTCAAAGAATGACAATGGTAATTACCACATACCTACCCACAGTCCTGCAGTCCTCTCGAGCGTAGATCCAACGCCCTTGAAAAAAAACATAGCAGCAAGCGCAGCCTTTGTCCCTTGAGCAAGTAAAACCTAAGAGTTGGTGATGTCCATATAAAACCCCTAAAAATTTTCAGACCCCCAATGTAATCCTAATATTACCCCAATGGTCATTATCCGTATATAACCCCTATATATATAACCCATTATAAGTTTCCATGTTCTTTTCCATGATTCCTATATAACCTCTTCTTGCCGGTGGCTGAAGTCCGTCCACCTTGGGAGGAGCATTGCCCCTGAACTCCAGGCTCACAACATTTCTGGACTTTACATCCCTGGCTGCAACCTGGTGCCAAAATCCTTGTGTGGCCTCACAATTTATAGTAAAGAGCCACTGATTTTTGATTTTCTTTAGGGCTTAAACCCAAACCGGCATTCCACAGCTGGGGGGCGAAGGCCACCTCGGCCTGCAATTGGAAGTTCTTCTCTGGGATGATGTACCAGCCCGTGAGCATGTTCTGAAACCTTAGAGTTTAGGGTTTAAGGAGCATGTTCTGAAACCTCATTGAGCAGGAGTCCTTGGGAGTTCTGGGTTTATGTTTTTGAGGTGCTAGCAAAGTAGGAAGAATTTCGACTTGCTGCGACGTACTACAAGCTCGCGAGGGGAAAAGCCTGTGACAGTTGAAAGAAACCTTTCAAGGCGAATAAGCTGGCATTCTGACAGGATTCTTGGGCTTGGAGAACATTCGGCCACGTGGCCACTGTCTAAACTCCTAGTATCCCCCTTAATAACCCCAATAGTAGTACCCTTTTTACTCCCTTATACATCCCCCTTTAAGGAGTTTAGACTATGGCTCATTTGGCCACGTGGCGCTTTATACTCGTCGCTGATGATCTCGGTGTTGAACTTGGTCCACGTCTCGGTGGAAGTGTAGGCATACTTCGTGGCGATGGGCGCGTTCCTCAGCGCCAGCACAATTACGGTAAGTCTTGGGTCATTCCTGCTTACAGGACCTGTTACCAAAATAGGTACTCGGAGGTAAAATAGCCCCTTAATAAAGCCCAATTGAGGAAAGTTACTGGGAGTGGGAATGACCCAAGGTAAGTCTTACAAAATCTCGGGCTTCTTCCCGCCATGATTGCAATGCCTCGTGTTCTCCTACTTGCCGCGCTATGCTTCCTTTGATCAACACCACCTGCCCACCTTGTCGAAACCCAATTCTCTCCAAGCATGCATGTCCTTGTATGACCCGTTTAGGACACAATAATGGCAGGGAATACCCGGCGCGATTGTTGCAGGGGGAGGGCGGGCCCTTATTCAGCGGACGGGTGGGATTCAGCCACGGCTATTGGGTCTCTCAGATGCCTCTTTGCCAGGTTCCCGTCCCACCCAGCCCTGCAGAATCACAAGTGGGCCTCTCTACGGTCAAGTCGAGAGCATGGGACTTAGCTTTGTGAGACTTTGGGAGGCACCCCTGATTGTTCGGCAACCCCTCGATGAGCCCATCATCCCGTAAATGGTACTTTCTATACATCGGGGACCCCAATACAGACCCCCAAATTCCTTATCGTGGAGACCCCCCTCCCCCCAATTTTAGAACCCCTAACTAGCCCCTGCCGCGCGCCTCATAAGCAGGCATATCATGGCAAACTTGTACTCGATGATCATGACGTGGGGATTCGAAGTGGCAAAAGTCAGGACGATGCTGGTGAACAAGCCTTGGCACACCCGGTGGAAAAATGATGGGCTGCTTGTGGGCTCATGGGAAACCTCTTCTCTTGAGCGTAAGAATCGAAACCATCTGTGCGATGCACAAAGGCTGCGCAGAACAAACTCTCGCTGATAAGCATGGGAAGGAGACAGGCATGCACGATGGCCTGCTTGATACCCTTCCCTCCAGTATCTCAACTGCAAAGACATGTGCGGGCGTGCATAACATCTATCCGCATAATGCTCGAAAAGTCACTGTCATGTCCCAACGAGATGAACGCAGGGACCCCAGGAGCGCAGATTAGTCAGCAAACCCTCCCAAAACAGACCTTCTAAGAGGCGTATGTTAGTCGTGCGTTCCGGAACTGACAGTTGAAGCTACCCGAATAGCTGAAGCTCATCAGCCACAGGTTCTAAGCAATAGGCACATGGAAAATATATTGGGTTCCAAAAAATGACAGGCCTTAACAGCATAGCAAGCCAGGGTCGATTGGGGCCCTGTACTTATGGACACACCCTTATTCCATTGTACGGCAAAGGAACAGGCCCAAAGAATGAACTGCAGCGCGAAGGATGGACTACCTTGGCTCAAGACCAGGCTTTTGGGCACCCAACAGAAGACAAATGATATATACCTTAAGCCCTGAACCATAACTATATATACATATAGATGAACTTGTCCGAAGTCCATTCCGTCCTTCCCTACCCGCGGAGGGGCAGCGAGAAAGCTAGGAATGTGCTGAAAAGAAAAAAACTTTTGGCTGGGTAGATACGTGCTAGTGACTATGGCTGGTGAAGCTGCCACGATCCCTGCTAGCACGAGAGGACTGCATGATTCCAAATCCTGCCTGACATTTAGATGGAATCTAAACTTTAAAGCAAGACCAACAGCCTAAAAGTGGCCCTCAAATCCAAGCTGGAAGCCTGAAACAGAACGCCTTGGCTTCTTTTTTCAACGGCGCTACGTGATATCAGCCCGGCCTGACAAGCATCACTCTCTCCCCAAAACTAAAATACATCCCACATCAATTTTGATGCCTGTTGCTATTATATGGCGAATAAGGATTATGTGTTTGTGTAATCAGCTGCAATCGCTTTCCCATACAACCACTTTCAATCCCTACAGGTCTCCATTGGCACTGAATCCAGGAACAGGATTTTTGAGTACTGAAACTTAGGACCTGCACCACTAGCACTGCTTCTTTACTGCTCATCAACATGCCCAGAAGCCTCAGACGCAAAACCTACACACTGTAATCCAAGTAACCATCGGAACATGGAACATGTATTTGAAGGATCTCTATGGGCCGAATTGAATAACTCATACTGAGCATGTCTGGATGCTGTTAATCTCCAGCTGAAGGCACGTGTCGGCCAGAAGCCCCGGTTTATTAGCCCGATTCGGCCACCATACCTGATATGGGCTGCGCTTCAAGGACGAGCTATACATGGGTCTGCTTGCGACATTGCAGAGGTCGCGCATAAGGATATTGATCTTGTCTATCTTGTCTGACCAATAAACATCTTCCAGATTCTCAGAAGATGAGCGTGCCGTGTGCCTTTCTGATGCTCCCTGGATTCTTGGCACCGCTCTTAATAGGAAGTCCCGAGTTGGCGTCTTGTATCGAAGGGCCCGATTGTTGGATTGCATGCAGAATATCAAGAACGCTCTCAGGAGGGAAGTTAAGTTGCTAGACAGTCTGTACTTATGACCTGTACTTGTGGCCAAAGGGCCAATGATTGACACTTGAGCTCATTCAAGCGCAAATACCTTGACATAAAGTGGCTACGCTTTTGGAGAAGCCGACAAGTTGTGAAGTGTCTGGATCTCTGCAGCTGCCACGCTGTGGCTAAAACGCTTACACTCTTACACCTTACAACGTGTTGCGGCTCAAGACGCGGTTTTGGCCTTTGCTTAGTCCGCTAAAATGCATGACCGAAACTCAACTGCACCGACTGAGAGCTGCCAGGCTTCACGAGGGCTGCTGCAACACTCCCGAAACAGTTCACCACCAAGCGCGCTCTTTCTACCACCGGAAAACTGAATCCATGCTCCTGACACTCGTGCCGTCAAGTGTTTGCTTCTGCTCGTGCTGTCATGGCGGCGACGGCAGCAGCAGCAGCAGCAGCAGCAGCAGCAGCAGCAGCAGCCGTACGAGAAGGATGGTAGGAGAAGTCAGAATCCTTCTACTGTGACTGCAACTGCTACACAAACAATGAAGACGACAACAAGGATAAGTGCTAGTATCACTTCTTCTCCTTCTTCTTTTTCTTCTTCTCCTTCTCCAGCCCCAAGCGAATGACTTAGGAACGTAAACACGAGGTTTTACCAAACTCTACTCCTGTCGCACTCACTATTTGCTACAATGGCCGAGTAGCATACACAGCAGCACCGGAATACTCAGGGGTCCTAACCTTGGCTGCAGCAGTGCTGTCCAGACTGTAGTCATGACAACAGGTAGGAACCATTGAGAGTTATATATGGGGTTAAGCTTTTCATTGAGGGAGCATTGGGAAGGGGGAACTCTGGCGTCTTGGGGATGCCCAAGCCTCTTGGATTTTTTGGGGCTTCTGGTGTTGGCAGCGTGCGTCATAGCGGTGCTAACGATAGAAGTCAGGAATGAATGCTACTGTTGAAACCTGCAATGCTACGTCGTGCCTCTGATGACTTGAAACAGATATGCCTGCTTCCAAGGTGTCTTGTGGCGCGCCCCGCGTGGAAGCCTTCGCGCGACCGCGAATACGCGCAATTGGCAATCCGTTTGACTGAGCTCAAGAGCCACTAATTACTGTGGGTACATTGTTTGGTCAGCAAGGGGCAGTTTCTAAATTGGAGAACGTCCCAGTGCAAGGCAGACCCCCACAGCAGTTGCGTCTGCTGCTCCCTTGTTGTAGATTGTTGCTTGAGTAATAGAAATGCAAGCCTTCGAGTTAGGGACCCATACGAATTATGATGAGGCATAATATGAAGATTTAGAAGGAACATGGGAACCACATGAATAATTCATTCTTCAGGCTCATAGACTCCGCCAACGCCCTCTAGATGTCGAAGTTTCACAAGCTGTCGTCAATTTTGTATCCATGAGTGCTCTGGGAGTTTTCCTTGAACACGCATAGTTTCTACGCTATGAAGGTGGCACCGCGAAATAGGAACACACAAACAGACGAGGAGCACAGTGTACAGCAGCTGGCCAACGAGTTCCTCAGTGAAATGCAGGGCTTCGCTGTCGGCAAAAGGTTCGCGTTTAGCATCCCGCATACGGCAATCATATGCTGGCAGCTCGGAATTACAAGCTTAAGTGTATACGTGCAAAAGCGAACGCCCATTTTTTTGTGGACTATCACCAAGGCTAATGGATAATCATGGACATAAAGATGTGTAATATAAGGTCCGGGCTAAGGATTCCCGGCAGATTCTTTGGGATCCTGTTCTTCAATAAGTTCGGGAGGGAATATGTCCTGGCGACCGCGGCTTCGAGCATAGGCGTCCAGTCAGAACCTCCGTCTATCTGCTGAAGGAGCTGCAATGAAGAAGACCCGATAGTGGAAGACTTCCGAAACTTCGCCTGTTCAGCGTCGGGCCGGCGATTAACACCAAGTACCAAAACAAGCCTTTTCGGACATAGTACACTCAGAAACATGGAAAGTGAGGGGCTTTCTGTCCTTGTCAGGATCTTTCTGGAGCCTACCTGTGGGAAGTAGTGCATGATCAATTGACAGGCCAAGCCACTTATCCAGTTCTCAAGGTCTTCATGGAAGACCTGTGCCGTCGCCGTGTGGGCGGTGTGGCCATCCGACATCTCCGACGCCTTTCAGGTTCAGGATTGCTGGTGGCAGCGGTTTGAAAGCCCGGTAGACACTGTTAGGATAAGCCCTATAACGGTTCTAGTTGGATGTTCTTCTAAAATTTGACCTCAACCTAATGACACGGATTTTTCGAACATGATTTCTAGAGCTCCTACTGACAAGCCTCGGGCAGGATTCCGAATTACACTGCTTTCGGAGCAAAGTCAACACCAACCGTCTGTGCCACTGAGACCGGCTCTAGCAATGCCACGGTGGCCGTGCCCATCATGCAAACACTGGCCTTTGGCTAGCTGAGAATGAAGGAATGGAACAGAAAAGGGAAACTACTACGACGGGTTATATAGGGACTACGATAAGGATACATTTCTTCATTCCCAGCTAACCATCATGCAAACAGTGGGGTAGTTCCCCAAATTAGGGTCCCATTTTGCTACCCCTAATTTTTTTGCGCCGTAATGTGATGTATGTATACCCAAAAGGGGCCACTATCTTGAGTGATGACAGCACTCAGCAGCCCGCGCAAAAATCACCCAATGCAAGTAAACTGAATTTGTTGCTACATTCCTAAGGAGACTACAGGTCTTGGGTTGTTCTCAAAATTATGGGCCCCCATTTTTGGTTTTAGATTATATTATGGCACCAAATATTTCTAGGTACCAAAATGGGATCCTAATTTCGGGAACTACCCACCATTGTTGCGAGCTTTAGCAAGCATTGGACGCAGCCATCGTACGATCGCAGCTGTCATCACATGCTACGGGTGGGCTCAACATGGCCTGTTATGTCTTGGGCCCCAGTAAAAGCACACTGAGTTTGTAACGGTTATACAGTTATAGTCCCCCTTAAGCAGATAGAATATGGCGTTGCGCATGTTAAAATGAGATCCCCATATATACCATATTCTATCTACTTAAAGGAGACTATATGCATCCCTCGAAAATGAGTATTCAGATATGAAACCGAGAGCTTCGACTTTCACATCCTATCCTCGCTCCAAACGTGATCACCTGCTCACTCGAGTTATCCACTTCCCTCTTCTCACACCTGGGCTTCGTGTGAAAGGTAGTAAGAGGCAGAGAGCACTCCAAATTTCAAGCCTCGAAGCGCAAACACAAGCAAACAAGTACTCCAACGTGAATGGGAGGCAGAGC